ATTGTTGGCTCCGAGTACAGGAACGCGTTGTGTGGAATCTCCAGCAACGTTGGCATTGCTCGATTGGTCTTCGGCGTGAGAAGGGAATTGCTGGTCCGCTCTTGTCAAAGAGACGAAACTTTGTCTTTGCTGGTTTTTGTTGGAAATGAACAATCCAGCTTGTTGAGTATTGTCCAAGCTTTGTTTCTGTGGGCCTTACCTGGATTGGTGTGGCGCCGCATACAGCCTGGCATTCGTTCTTCACCATATTGTTGGTGACTGGGATGCTGCCTTCAAGCGTCCTGATGTACAATAGCACATGAGGTACGATCAATGATGTCCATTTGGACGCTTCCTCAATCACGGTGTTGTCTTCCTGTAGGGAAGGTGCAATCCTCATGATTGTATCTCTCAATGCATCTGATGCGCATTCGAGAGCGATCCCCGACCTGACTGAGTACATGGAGGTGATAGCTGAGGCTGCTATCCCAGCCTTGTCGGTTATTATTTTCTTGATCGTAACTGGCGAGAGCTTGTGCCAGTGGTGATTTCTCCCCAATCGAAGGAACAGGCGTTTGTTCTCCTTTTGGGTTGTCTGTGGTTTCGGGTGGCTTGATGGAGCAGGCCTTCGTGGAATTTGCACATTTGGTGGTGTCGGTAACTTGGCCGCTTTACGGGCTACTGTCACCCAGGGCGAGCTGGTGTCTTTAGGCTTTGGGGGTAGAGCGTGGCTGTGATCCTCAACAGCTGTATTTTTCCTAGGCGCGACTGGTTTTGGAGTGCTTGCCATGGCGGGGGGCTTCTTACTTGGAAAGTTAGATGCTTCTACCTGATCTACTGCGAAGGCAGTGATAACAGGCATGATGTTTTCCAGCAGAGTCGCGACAACTGCTGCTGCTTGTTTCTCTCCTTTGCTCTTAGCCCAGGAGTCGATTAGTTCTAGAAATTCCTGGGCTATATCCAGTCTTTCTTTCCGTTGTTGTTCTGCTTTGTGCATTGTATTCACAATGCCAAGCAGGCTTGGGTGAAGTTGCCCTCCTGGATTGGAGGGCGTTGTCGATGACGATGCAACAGCTGGGGCCATTGCACCGATTGAAGATTCTTGTAAATAAGGGTAATGGGTGATGCGATGTGTTAGGTGTCGTAGAAAGCTTTTAATGTGTATCCTGGATATAGATTGTGTCACGTTCAGTTAATTAAACCTAACCTTGATCCACCAGACTCTTCATCACGTTAACATCGCACCTCGCTCCCCCCTTAACAGTAGGTGCTCAGGTTACTCAAACTATACCAGAGAACACCACCAGGAGGCGGACCACGGCACCTTCTATCTTTGGCTTGTGTTTATAGTGCCAGCTGCACTCTCGCAAGCGAAGTTATGGAGCGTACAAAGCTCAATTCGTAAAACTCTTGCCCAAATTTCAAAAATTAACGCCAATCGAGATTGAATCCTTCCTTTACATTATCTTGCAGTCTTGATCTCTCTCATGTTCATCCCAAATAATTTCCTCCCAAGTATGTGCGCTACGATTTTTGTTCTCCTACGGGTATTCGTATTGTTGTGAACGTATATTCAGTGACCAGCTGAGGCCAGAGAATCCTCGATGAGAGGTGTAGTCAATGAAACGAGGATGTACTTGGTTGCACTTATAGAATCGATGAGGCTTCGATAGGAGACGATTTCTTTGAGAGTTAAGATTTGACATAGAATATTTGGAATCATTGCCTTGGGGGCCATATTCTTTGGTATGGCAAAATGTGACTGAACTTGGCTCTGGGAGAATATTTCACTCCCAGTTTCGTAGAGTGTGTTTGTTTATATTACTACTTGAGTCATAGACGATCTAGCATATTGGGCTCCTCTCTGACCCAGGCCACACCTTGTACAGTGCTCCTTGCCTCACATGTTCCCTGAAAGATGATTGATATATTGCCCGTGATGAATAGCTATTCAGTTCAGTGTTTACCCGCGGAATTCGGCCACATTTTCAATGTAACCTTCTACCCAAAAAAAAATTAAAAAATAAAATAAAAATAAAATAAGAATGGTAGCAATGGAAACTGCGTGAGCGGGAAAAAGTCTCAAAAAACCTGCAGCCCCAGCCAGGCGAGGCCTAGACACCGGGACCACATGAGGTGCGCATATTCATCTATGTCTCCCTTCTTTGTAACAGTCGAGGCCGACTTGATCCAATCCACCATCTCCGTATCGGATGCTGAGTACGCTCCGGAAACTCATCGGATGGCTTTCCTCCATGATCAAGGGTTGGTGATGAGTAGGGCTCCGACCCTACCATCTGATCTGATTGTAGTTAGCATCATGATAATGGTGATGGGGGAATGTGTTGAGAGATGAAGACGATACAGACCGCGAAAGGGGTTGGGAATCCTCGTCGGAGTGAGGACTTTGTTTCTCAATCTCGGCTCTGCAGACTCTGCAGTGAGAGCTGGAGGTTCGTAGGGGACACCACTGACAGGTGTTGAGAATAGTCCCCCCCAGTTTCGTAGAAGACACCGCGTACAGGTGCTTAGTCTTGCCCTCCAACACTTGTACTTACAGCGCTCATCTCCCACTCTTACAGTAGTAACCTGAACATACATTCCTCTAGTCAACTTTCTCTTTCCTTCATACCGGGACGGTCTGGGATTACTGGGAACGAGCAGGCGGACAAATCAGCCAAGGCTGTCCTGAGAGACCTCTCAGACTCAAGGGGTGAGCAGAAATACACCTTTGCAGCGCTGAACCGGCCCGTCCGAGAGCAGGCTGACGAAGATGTGGAATCCTGGTGGCTTCTAAATATACCAAGACGGTTCGAGGAATTAGACTTCCTAATGGGACGAAAACGACCACTCGAGCTTGTCTTGCCGAGATGGGAGTACTTTTGCCTGTTAGCAGCGTTGACAGGACACGGGGACTTTAAGGGCTTCCTTGATAGATTCAGGCATGAAAATATAGACTGCAGATGCGTCTGTAGAAGGGATAGACGTCCTTGGCATTTTGCAAAGTGCCGAACGGCCCTGCGACAACTGAGAATATCCAGATATGAACCACCACCAAGAAGTCGGGTTACGTTGGCAGAAAACGGATAGTAGGAATTCTGTAAGCATAGAACCGTAACGAGATGATACGTAGAGCAATTTTCACATCGAGGGGGCTAAGCCCTCGCGAGGGATTGGAATATAGTTAGCCGTTGAATGTAAAAGTGGGCAAGGCGTTTCAGTCTAGGCAATTTTCCTTATTTCTTCTTTCATGCAATCACTCGGCCTAGAAAGCTGGATAGATAGGTAGCAGTGAGTCTCTAGGGATCACACAACCGTATTATGCCTCTTGGGTGTAGGGCTTTTGCCTGATACGAAATTTATACATGCATATATTACTCTTTCCTCCCAAGAATATCGTGCCAATTTCATTGCGTGATATTTTCAGTATTGAAGTTTTGGTTTTAGTTGTGTTAACACTTACGCTTTCGGCGGACGTTCACGCGGTTGGAGCGAGTTGGGCCTGTACGCAGACGTCCTCGCCAGCTCCGCCGGTCCTGCACTCAAAGTGGACTTGGAACATTGGCTTAGGACCCAATTACTTAAAAAACCATGGCGGTGTTCGCAGTGTTGCGTGCACTCTTGAAATCGAAGTCGCGGCACGCATAAAGCTCACCTCGTAAAACTCTTTGCCAAAATTTCAAATGTCACCCCCTTCGAGATTGTATCTATCCATTGTAAGATCTTGTCCAATTCTTCAAGTCTTACTCACGTCCAATCCAAAAATCTGACTCTCAGATTTATGCACCACAATTTATCTCCTTCGGTGGGTATTCATATTGTTATGAGTGTGAATGGAGGTCATTTAAGGCCAAGGACTGATTAGATGAGAGGTGGCCATAGAAGCGAGGATTTACTAAATTTTACCTGTAGACTTGATGAGGCTTTGATGGGAATCGATCTGGTTGGAAGTGTGAGGCTTACGTGCATGAGATATTAAATCATTTCCTCGCTGGTCAACTTCTTTCTAGCAAAATTTGATAGAACTTGAACCTGGAAGATCATCTCACTCTCAAATTTATAGAGAGCATTGAGTACAGGTGTTCAGGCTTTGTCCCACTATTGATGACACAAAGGACATGAAAAGAAGGAAGTTCGGAATAACGGATCCAAGACTGACTCGTAGCAGAAGTTAACCATTATCGCTTCCCGAATTTGCTCTTACATTTTGATGATGCCCATGACACATACGCGAATTTCTATTCAACTTTTACAGCAATTGATCCGAGGATAAACTGATACGACCATTTGTACGTGATAGGAAAACATGTCATCTGGATAATTTTCACAAAAAACGGTGGGAAGCTAATTTTCATGATGAGAGGTTTTGTAGCTTTATTACCTAGGAGAGATTAAGTGTCCAACTGGCTAGTAGTTCTTCTGATCAATGTACCAAATATTTTGTGTGTACATTTAATAATATTATATAAATAAGTGTTCAAGACAGTCAGAGAATTTCCCAACAGTGAAAGACCATACACATCAAAGCTTCTACAGATTAAATTTCCATTACGTACTATTGTCCTTCATGCTTGAATGGTCTATCGTACTATGGTGAATAATAAAGCAGAATTGAACGGTGCCCCTCGTACACGCTTTCCACGATCTTAGGGCTGGGCTCAACTTTAGATAGGTTAAAGTCTATTAGAGTTAGAGGCAGATTCCACAGCCAAGGTCAGTATGGGACTCTAGTTCGTAACGATAGTTGAATTGTGGTTTCATCTTCTTAGATGAGCTGCGGAAAGCTCATCCTGATCAGCCAATGAAGCTTTGTGATTAGACCATGAATAGGACACTAGTTGGTATGTGACCTTTCGTGTATCTACCCGCTTCTCGGTATTTTCTGGTCGAAATGTTTGAGTCTAAACTTAAAAATTAATTATTCCTTCATCCCTGACCTGAATGAAGAGTCGATTTACGTCTCCCTCTGATGAAGGGGCGAAAGATAGCCTAGGGCCCTGTTTACCCAAACGTAATAATATCTAATACATTTTCCTTTTTTTGCTTAAAGTAGATTCGGTCGCTTCGGGTGACTCCAAATTGCAAAGGAATTTGTAAATCTTTTCTGCTGATGAGGGAGCAGCGTAAACAACATACGTTAAAATGCAGTTATCATCGACAATAATTTGAGGTCTGTTGAAAGAATCTGATACCGTCAGTCGATTATTCATGTAAAAAATTAATAACTTTGAAAGTTGAAATCAAGGTTCACGCACCAGAATCTACTGTGATAGTATCACTAATTATCGGAAATGAAAATAAATTATCACCTAAGGTACTCCAAGTAGTTAAGCGATACCGTTCTCCAAACTTTAATTGCCAACAGGCACGATTTACACTGTTGAGGATAAGTTGCCTTGGGAAGTGTTGGGTACCACATGTAGCTTGTCTGAATGCATAATAAGACTGTGTATTCGTAAGGAAACTCAAATCCGACATGTCGAATAAAAGGGTAGATAACGAAAAGCCCAGACGAACTATTGCGATTTCAAAAGGGTAGTAAGGTGTAATTTGTGGTCACCGTAACAATATAAGAAAGTAGTCACGAATATATCAATGAAGAAGCAGTGAGCCTCGTCGAGTGGATTTAGATATGATTAAGGTAGTGCCAATTAACGGCATTCTCAAGTGCCTGGTACGAGCTATCTTTATAAAAAAAGGTCATTTCTAAGAGCAATAGCGAATTAGTTTACGAGTCAAGTAATTTTATCCGCTCTAAGATATACGACATTGCGGATATAGAGCCGCCGCGCAATGTTGTCACCGTAAGATTAAGTAGCTCCAATTTCTAACCGAAGGAAATTTTGAACCAAAACATAAATATTGTTCTACACCATCCATCATCAGCGCATTGGACATGACAGAGGCAGTAGATTATGAACTGTGGATCTATTGAGGTGGCAAGAAAGGGCGTCTGGGCGATGAGTAAGCTTCATCTTGGCAAAGGAGTCACTTGATAATGCACGGCAATCTCTCAAATGAAGTCTTTAACAGGAATATGCACCGTTCATGCGTCACCTAAAGCAGAGAACAAGAAACTGAAATAACTTTTCGCGTTATTATCTACGAACCTAAGAGTACAATATTTTCCCAGAGCCAAGTTCAGCCAAAGTTTGTGATGTCGAGTGTGATAAAACTCATCACCTTTCAATGGCGTCCCCTACGAACCTCCAGCTCTCACTGCAGAGCCGAGATTGAGAAACAAAGTCCTCACTCCGACGAGGATTCCCGATCGCTTTCGCGGTCTGTATCGTCTTCATCTCTCAACACATTCCCCCATCACCATTATCATGAAGCTAACCACAATCAGATCAGATGGTAGGGTCGGAGCCCTACTCATCACCAACCCTTGATCATGGAGGAAAGCCATCCGATGAGTTTCCGGAGCGTACCCTGTCATGAATGCGCTTTTCACATTAGTATTAAATCGTCATCCACGCAGTGTAGCATGCAGAGCCATGGAAATGGAAACAGGTTAGTGATAAACTAGATACCACCGATCGCTACACTCACCCGTAGATCACTCCTAAAAGAGACTAGCTACGGCGCTATCTGGAAGTATGTGGGATTGGTTAATTATCATGTAGAAAACTTGTAACATAATATAACAAAAATAATACAATAAGATACCATTCGCATCCCGTAACATTTATTGCCATAATCACCCAAGTATATTCTAAGCCCCCTGAGCAGTCACAAGCATTTAATTGAAGATACCAAGTGTATACAACCTTATACATCACCACCCTTCAATATACCCAGCACCCGATACGGAGATGTTGGATTGGATCAAGTTGGCCTCGAATGTTACTGTCGAACCTTTTGAGCTGGTTCGGAAGCTGTAATGATTGAGACTAGAGGTATCTGGAAGAATAGCTCGCACAGGAGCTTTTAATTGAAGTGAAATAAAAAGATGTAATTGTCTGCCTGTCTGTCTTCCTCTTTCTCTCAGCTTATATATCTACACATATCTACTACCTGACATATGATGATAATATCTAGAAATAGCTTCCTTACGTCACAGGTTGCAATGCAAACATGTTGTAGCCAAGATGTAATCCTAAACCGACTCAATACCAGTCCACAACGTCTGTTACAGGGACGCCAAGTATTTTCTAGCTGAAAATTACCCAAAACGCCAAGGTTTTCCTGAGGCAATCACAAATTGTGTCAGGTACCAGCTTGGCATATTATTCTGACAATAATGTTACGATGATGTTAGAAGAATGGAATTTACATGAATCACGAAACATTAATTCAGGAATACGAATTCCACCGGGTTCTGATACTGGTCTGACATACCCCCCTAGTTTTAGACGCGTGGTTTAAGACTATTGTTCAGATTCATATTCGATTTCATTTTGAAGTTGAAGTTTTATATCTTGAAGTCGAAGTAATTGACGAAAATGAAGGAACTTTTGTCGAGGAAGTGCTACAGTGAATAAATCTGCGAGATTTGGTCGGATGGATTGTATTATGGTCGTTATTTGTTGTCATGGAAATTTAAATTCTTTTTTTTATAGAAAATAACGTTGAGCCCTTTTGACTTCTTTTAAATAAAAATAAATAAACAAATCTAATTTGCTGAAAATGATCTTGCTAGACGTCTGATTATCCCACAGGTTTATCCATATGTGTGGTGAACTGACAAGTCTGTCGATATCGATGGGGCATGTTGTTGGTTTTTCTGAAGCAAGATTACCAGTTTTTCTGTTGGAGATATCCAGCTCTCTTTATCGCCTTTAATTTGGGTCGAAAATTGTAGAATAAAATTGGACCTAATTCTTGATTTATGATAAACATGGCCCTTGTAAATAAATACCACTATTTTCCAAATTTCGGTCCAGAGAAATTCTGGTAAACTCGAGGAAATACGCATCGTGCGCGTTTTTGTAGAAATTACCCCCCAGAACGCTCAGCAGAGCCGTTTTGAGCAGGTTTATGAGGCGCAGTAAGCTCGTCTAAGATTCCATGATCTGTGGTAAAATTTTGATATTCTTGTCGCAAAGAAACACGATCATCTCGATAAAAAATGCAGAATTCAAGTGTAAATTTAGTTTTTACAAATCTCTGAACATTAATAAAATTTAAAAGCTTTCGAATAGATAAATTTGAAATTGCGTGGAAAAAAATTGGGTTTGTATAATTATACTTGACCAAGAACGCTACTACCCTTTTAGCTTTTGCAAGCTTGCAAGGCTCACAGTTCTCTAGTTCTTTTTCAATTTCAATCAGTAATAAAGAATGATTTTTTAAAAAATTTTCGAGTAATTGACTAGAAGGATGTCCAAGTCGTTCATGCCAGATTGTAATATCTGTTGGTGTTACAGATTTTATATCTGAACCCTTTGTGGAAAATGAAGATTCAGTAATTACTGGTTCAAATTTGTTATACTCGATGACGTATTGGTTGAACAATTTTTTTGTAAAGCAAATTGTTTTTTCAGAATTAAAAATGCATCCTGTCTGTGGATTCCACGAAATTCCTGCAGATTGTAACTTAGTGAGTGATGCAAGAGACGTATGAAAAGATGGTATATACGCCACATTGTTTAGTTGGAAAAGTCCTGTTGAAATCTTCATAAAAACTGTTCCATATCCGAGAATTTCAGATTTCCCACTCCCTGCTACAGCTGTAGATGGCTTAGAAAAGTAATTTGAGAATCGAGAAAATTCATTGCAGATATGCCCGTCAGAGCCTGAATCAAGAATGAACGAATTTTTTAAAGGATAATTGGAGCAGTTGAGAGAAGGTTGAGAGAAAGTAGAAGCTGTTGATACTGCGGCTACTGCCTGAATATTGGGTAAATTTCGACCTGAGCTTTCATATGACTCAGAATTTCGTTTCTGTCGAAAGTTATTTGCCTTTTTTAATGCTGCATTGACTTTAGCGTTATTCGAAGGGACTTTGAGAAAATCATCAACTTTTTGTTGTCTTTCTAATGAAGGCTTAAAATTGGTTGGTCTTAATTCCTTATTAATGTAATAACACTCTGAAAATTAATGTTTCCACCCACACGGACAAGCAGGCTTTTTCGAAGAAGGACCAGAAGTACATGGATCATTTGATGAGGTAGAGGATTCAGGCTGAGTATTTAACGTCAAATTTTGACCTTTATACACAGCGAAAGATGCCTGATTTAGTGAGGTACTTGCAGCTTTGGTGGCCTGTGTACGCTCAAATATCTCTGATATCTCTATACCATCCGGGAATCTTTCTTCCCACCCTTGAACATTACTTCTGGCTTCATCTTCTAACTTGTTAGTCCAATAATCTGAAAATGAATTGTCAATACGACAAATTGACTCGAGAAATGATTGGGTCGGTCGAAGATCCTGTGCTTCTGGAAGACCAATCCTTTTAGCATCAGTGAAAACTTTCTGCCAATTCGTAACCCATGCAGAAATATCCGTTCTATCAGGGGAATTAAGAATAGATTGGTACTTGCTTAAAATCTCCTTCTGTTGTACCCACCCTGAGGGTTGGAGTCGACGTTTCAAAAGTACCAACTCACTTGCAACATCATGTTCATCGGAAATAGTCGAGTAGTAATTACCAACCGTTTTTATTATGAATTCTTGGATAAATGCAAGTGACCTTTGTTGTGACGGTAGGCCTGAAGGTCCGTACGATAGCGATTGTAAAGGAACTCATATATCCTTAGTTCATCAATGGCAAGATCTGTAATTAATCTTGCAGTTGGTTTAACTACCGTTATCAATGGTTCCTCCGGATATTTGAGACATGGTACTCGTGATCTGCTGGAAGGGTCAATTTGAGCCGAAATACTTTGTGTTAGAGCAAATTTCTGAATCGTTGATATCCATTGATCCCAATTAGACGGACCATTTAGCATGATTTTGGAAGAGCCGCTTAATTCAGCCATTTTTGTTGAAGGATCTGAACTGTAAATTTAATAGTAAAAAATGGTTGGTGAAAAAAAACCCCCCGTAATAATTGACTTGAAACAATATGAAAAATATGATAAAAATAATAAGTAAGACTGTCGCAACAGGACAATTAACTTAGCAAGATTGATAGACCGATACCACTTTTCTATGCGCAGAAGAGTTTAACCGGGCTCATAACTGTCGAACCTTTTGAGCTGGTTCGGAAGCTGTAATGATTGAGACTAGAGGTATCTGGAAGAATAGCTCGCACAGGAGCTTTTAATTGAAGTGAAATAAAAAGATGTAATTGTCTGCCTGTCTGTCTTCCTCTTTCTCTCAGCTTATATATCTACACATATCTACTACCTGACATATGATGATAATATCTAGAAATAGCTTCCTTACGTCACAGGATACAATGCAAACATGTTGTAGCCAAGATGTAAGGAAGCTATTTCTAGATATTATCATCATATGTCAGGTAGTAGATATGTGTAGATATATAAGCTGAGAGAAAGAGGAAGACAGACAGGCAGACAATTACATCTTTTTATTTCACTTCAATTAAAAGCTCCTGTGCGAGCTATTCTTCCAGATACCTCTAGTCTCAATCATTACAGCTTCCGAACCAGCTCAAAAGGTTCGACAGTTACAAAGAAGGGAGACATAGATGAATATGCGCACCTCATGTGGCCCCGGTGTCTAGGCCTCGCCTGGCTGGGGCTGCAGGTTTTTTTGAGACTTTTTCCCGCGCACGCAGTTTCCATTGCTACCATTTTTATTTTTTGAGTAGAAGGTTCCGTGGAAAAGGTGGCTGAATTCCACGGGTAAACACTGAGCTGAATGGCTATTCATCAAGGGGAATATATCAATGATCTTTCAAGAAACAAAAGGGGCAAGGAGCACTGTACAAGGTTTGGCCTGGGTCAGAGAGGAGCTCAATTTGCTTGATAATCTAAGACTCAAGTAGTACAACAAAAACACACACACACTGCTAAATACGCCGGCAAAGTCGAATTCTTCACCTTCCAGTGGTGCAGGTATAATCGCTCAGTATGCTCTGCATATCTGGGATAGCCAAGAAGAATCGCATCCATCGCAACGGCAGCTTGCTGAGCGTGGCCAAGTCGATTTTGATTGACACATGGGCTAGGTTCCGTTCCTGGCACGGTAGATCAAAAGTTTAAGTTTGGGTCTCTTCTATTCAGTCTTGTAACAAATTCCCGATTGAGTTTGACTGGGAGGACTTTACGACTCACTAGCAACCCTCCAAAATCAAAGGTAAGATTCCTTTCGCTTTCAAGCTTACTAACATTGTGTGCAGGACTGGGCAATTACTCGGCCTCATTTTGGACAAGCACCTCGACCGCGACATCAACATTCTCAACTTTTCGACACATTCCGAAGACGGCGCGAACGAAGAAGCCTCACTCAGACAACGAACAATGAACGAAAAAAGCTGGGGGACCGATCCCTCGAATTTCAGCTCTCGATTTCGGAATTTCAGCCCTCTCAAATGGGGTTTGAGCGCAATGCAGGGGAGAATTTGGGAAGAGCGATATGTGATTTTCAACAGGCTGTTGTCACAGTTGGTCGGGTGCTGGATGTGCTTTCTAGAAGTGGTAGGTTGGATTCCTACACGGCCTGTATAAGGGGGGACTACGGCTGCTCGTCGTGAAATAGTACAGGAGGAATTATTGATGTTTTTCCACGAAGGTTTTCCCTCAATACATGGTCTTAGGATCATAGTGAATGCGTTCCTACCTATTCGACCCGATGTAACTAGCGTGAGGCACGTATTTGGAAAAGTCAGGCACCGGATGGGCTTTGCTGGAGAATGGAGGAGCTTGTACTCTAAATGTCCTCCATGCGTGTCATGTCCATTGGATGGAGGGTGTAAGCCTGGCACGATAAATATAATCATCATCATTATAGTGGGATGGGTGCTTGAGCTATCCGAGCTCTTCTCGGTAAGACAGGGCGGATAACGTACCACTGCACCACTTCACTTTTACTAGGGAGATATGTGGACTATAAATGCGGGTCGGCAGGGATACATTTATAAATACTAATTATCGATAAAGTCATGTGATAAATTCATCATCAAGGCTACCCATTTGTGTGGTTCGAATAGTTGATCTCATCGTATGACCTAATTCTCTTCTACGACAAAATTCATCACAAATCTTTACTGACGAAGATAATCGATCATTAACAATACGACGTCATATAATTCGACTTTATCCCAACTCAGTGCAGTGGACGACTTCACTTCATAAACAACTCCATTCGTGCCACTTCGGATTTCATCTGTCCAAATGGACAGGGAAGTTGAAGATTTTATAGCTTTCACCGGTGCCAGTGATCAGATTGCCCGGCAATATCTAGGACTTACAGACAATAACTCTGAACAAGCAATCCAATTATTTTTTGATTCTCCAGATCTTGCTTCTAGTCTAAATCATGCCCCTGTCGAATCGGTCTCTTCGATACCCAGTGCCACTCGAACACAGCCAAAAATAACAGGCCCCAAGAACCTGAGTAATACGAATAATCTGGATAATAATGATACAATGAGTGTAGATAATGAAGATGATGAGGTGATAGCCATTTCTGAGAAGCAATTTACTGCTAAAGAAAAGAGCAAGACGTTTGATGACGATGAATCTATCGCCCGGAGGATTCAGGCACAGCTTTACGAAGGAGGTGACCCCAAAAATTTAAATGATATTGATAGTGTGAGAGCACCGCTTGAACGTCGTACGGAAATTCTCGTTGGGGGTGCCGAAGGAGACTGGCAAGACAATCCAATGCACGCTTCCGCTTTGCAACAAATGAGGGTAGCATCATCAACTAGACCTGGTTTGTAGACCAACCCCCTCTTCCAAAGCATCTCTGATATTTAACTGGTCAAGTAGGGGTTTTCAACCAGATACCAACTCCTTCCATATGGGACCAAGGCACTAGCCGTGGGCTTGGACTCGGGATTGTAAGTGGAGGAGTATCAGAAACATCTAAGGCTGCGCGCCTCGCCGAGTTATTCAGGCCACCTTTTGAGCTCATGCGTCAGGTACCCTGGAATATTGCTAGAGATCAGGGTAAAGAGGAAGAAAAATGGATGTTGGTCAATGTACAAGACCAATCAATCTTTGATTGTCAACAGTTAAACCGAGATATATGGAAGAATGATGGAATAAAAGAAATTATCAAGGAAAACTTCATATTCGTGCAGTACTCTAAAGACGACCCTCGAGGAGCTCAGTATATTCAGTACTATTTTCAAAATAAAGACAGTGGTGCAGCATACCCCCATATTGCAATTGTCGATCCTAGAACTGGAGAGCAGGTAAAAGTCTGGTCAGGACGTCCCGTGCCCCAGGCTCCTGATTTTCTCATGCAGCTCTACGAATTCCTCGATAGATACAGCCTCGACATTAACAAAAAGAATCCAGTCGCAAATAGAAAACCAATTGATTCGCTGACACACGGTATAGACCGTCTAACTGAAGAACAGATGTTAGATTTAGCTTTGCTGAATAGCCTTGCCAATTGTGCAGCCCCTGTACACACAGAAACTGACCCCGACGACTTGACCAAGCTTCCTGGTATCGTACAGAAAGGGAAAGGCAAGGAATCCGAGCACACTCAAGCCGAATCAAGCTCTCTTAATCCTCCAAAACCTTTCTTTTTGATACCGTCTGACCAACCACACATAGAACCTGAAATGGGTCCCGGAGCGACCCGTATTCAGTTTAAACATTCAGACGGACGGATTGTTCGCGTATTTCGTGTAGATGAACCCGTAAGAAGAATATATGAATGGTTAAAGTCTGAGCCTATCGAAAGCAAGGAAGGCATTGAATTCGAATTGAAGGGAATGGGAAAAGATTTGATCAATCACTTGGATCAATCCATAGGGGAATGTGGGCTTAAAAACGGAACAGTTATGGTAGAGTTCTTGCAATCAGATGATTAGATGATTTTGACCGTTCGAGCGCATTCTAGGGCGTTAGGAACGATAGTAGATGATACCTATTTTGCCTAAATAATCAACGAGGTCTGTTCACCGTGCAACTCGAATGATCTTTCCAAACACAAAAGCACAGGTAGTAGGAGGACGAAGACAAGCATTAAGATCTAAAATGTGTAATCTTCATTCCAACTCTGCTCAATGTGAAGATATCAATTGGGAATGATGGCTAGGCTTCAGGTACCAGCTTGACCCCTCAAATATTTTAAATATTTTGATTTAGCCTAAATTAGAGCATCGAAGTTCATGCACGTGCCTATGTGCCTGGTATTTACTTGCAAGGAACTCTTATCTTAGATAGATCCTACCCCTATCTATCGACTATCAATTAGTCCAACTCTAATGCGTCAGAAGGCCCACGGCGATTTAGTGTTGTCTGTGTACAACTGTCGCGTTTTCCTTTATTGTGGTCAGTCTCTTTGCCGCAACAGCTATTTGAATCCTTTGTTTATCCAAAAGACCTCTGTACATCTTCAGCCCGTAGTCCACTTTGGTACGGGACAATACCTCACACCTTTCCACAGTATTGTTGTGATAAACGATATCGATGCTTATTTCATCATTAATGAGCTATCACGTGTACGTAGCTGAGCGTGGCAATTAAGGTGTCAAAGGATTAATCGAGGCGCACACAATATTTATCGAGCCCATCCTTCCCCAATTTTGTTTATCATGATGATGACCTTTACTCTACGACTGGCGGTTTGGTTTGTTAACGTGCTAGGCATTTTGTACCCTCCGCACTTGTCTGGGAGCTTGAACACGAGTAGGGCCAGGCCGGACCAGGCTAACTACCATATTCTTACATTCAAGATTTTCCTACCCGAGTCACCGGACCACGAGGCCGAGCCCCTGACACGCTCCCTATCTTTAATTCTTACTCTGCGTTCCAATCCAAGTACATTTTTTAACCCGAGCAATAGTCATCAACTCCTTTAAAATCGCCCTTGATGTTGAATTTCATACTTATATCTACGACCGCGAACAACGCCTGACCCTCTTCCTCCACCTATTCCTGGGGGACTATTCTCAACACCTGTCAGTGGTGTCCCCTACGAACCTCCAGCTCTCACTGTAGAGTCTGCAGAGCCGAGATTAAGTAACAAAGTCCTCACTTCGAAGAGGATTCCCGATCGCTTTCGCGGTCTGTATCGTCTTCATCTCTCAACACATTCACCTATCACCATTATCATGAAGCTAACCACGATCAGATCAGATGGTAGGGTCGGAGCTCTACTCATCACCAAACCTTGATCACGGAGGAAAAGCCATCCGATGAGTTTCCGGAGCGTACCCAGCATCCGATACGGAGATGGTGGATTGTATTAAGTCGGCCTCGACAGTTACAAAGAAGGGAGACATAGATGAATATGCGCACCTCATGTGGTCCCGGTGTCTAGGCCTCGCCTGGCTGGGGCTGCAGGTTTTTTGAGACTTTTCCCGTGCACGCAGTTTCCATTGCTACCATTTTTATTTTTTGAGTAGAAGGTTCCGTGGAAAAGGTGGCTGAATTCCACGGGTAAACACTGAGCTGAATGGCTATTCATCAAGGGGAATATATCAATGATCTTTCAAGAAACAAAAGAGGATAGGAGCACTGTAAAAGGTGTGGCCTGGGTCAGAAAGGAGCCCAATGTGCTAGATAGTCATAGACTCAGGTAGCACAATAAACACAAACACACCACACCTCCACCTATTCCTCCGTTAGTAGTAGGGGCACCAACGACACTGACAGAAACGCTGAACCAAGCGACTTCCGCTGCTAACACAAGAACGCAGGAGGCAACTCTTTTGTTTGGCAGCATCGCCGCAGCATTGGATAATGTCACATGTAGTACAGCTGCCTCTACAATCCCCCTCCATTTGCAGAAAACATATAACGAGTTCTTGACCCGTATGCAAGCTGTTGCACAAGAATTTTTCGAAAACCATGTGCGAGGTGTACCAATTCCCGCAACAACTACCCACCTACTGACAACCCAGCCGAAGCCAGTTTCCCATGCGAAGCCCTTATACGCGAACGTTGCAAGAAAACCGAAGGGCAATGCTGAAGTTAGCACCCCTCAGAAACCGAGACCTTCCAATCTCCAAAAACAGGCCAAACCTCTGCCTTTGGATGATCGATTGTTTCTACGCCTTGATGAAAACGCGACAGAACGCCTCATATCAACGTACTCACTCCTCCTTCAACTCCGAAATTTCCTTGGGGAGAGTTCTACTATGCTGATGGAAGTGCAACACGTCCCATCTGGCCTAGCCCTCCGTCCATCTTCAGAAGCGGCCTTAACAAGATTAGAAGACCTTTTCGTCCAGGGAATTGGAGAAGGGATGTTTCCAGGTGTACAGGGCATTGAAAAAGCTCAAAACCTGGATAGTTACATAATCACATCTGTACCTCGCACATTCACAACTTTAGATAAAAATAACCGTCTCATCAAAGATCCAATCACCCCAGAGCTCGTTCTAAAGGAGCTTAAGGAAGAAAATGGGTTTAATCCTACTGTAGTAGTCGAGACTAAGGGAAGTATTGCATCTCCCTAGGATCCATCCGCCAGATTTATCGCTCGCTTCCCCACGGGCTCTCGTCTCCTAAGAAGGTTCCGTCTTTTCGGGATGGGCATCAACTGCCGTAAATTATCCATGAAAGTTAATATCGCTCAATGCGGTATATTTTCAATGGCATAATCAGCGTATCTGCGCCCGTGCTCCACGCTGCCGTCTCTGCGGTTCTGTCGAGCATACAGAGGAAACCCACAAGCCGTGTGGGCCACACCAACATCCCTGCCCATCTAGATGTATCCACTGTCATGGTCCACATCCAGCTGATGCCCCAGAGTGCCCACTCAGACCCCGACTAAATGGTATAAAGCTGACAAAGGGGCAAGTAGCTCAAATCCGCAGCACATCTATCGCTGCAAGAATAGGCCTATGCACCACTGTAGGCTGCATCCGTGGAAATACCACGAACATCTCAGTAGATGAAGAAATGACTGACACCCCTTCGGGCCAAGCCCCCATCTACACGCAAGCCACTAACCATTCTGACACTACCCCCGGTCTATTAATGCTGGAAGGTCCCCCAAGCTCGACCCAGCTTGTTCGGACCACCTCACCTTCACCCCCGCGTCCCACAGTTTTCCTTGGGAATCACTACGCTATTCTAGACGTTGAAGATGAAGTCTAGACGGCACAGGTCTATAGGGCCACTGCGTATCTTGCAGATCAACATCTGTAGGGAAACCTCTTCACATGAGCTTGCACTCACCTTTGCGAATGAAGAAAGATTCGACATCGTTCTCATTCAAGAACCCTACATCTACACTGATCGACAACGCCAGATCACTAAATTCAATTGTAACTATGAGTGCTTTACCCCCACGGATGACTGGTCACCCCGGCCTCGAGTACTCACATATATACGCAAAGGAGCTGGACTACAAGTATGTCGACAACGGCCCCTCCCCCTAATAAGTACAGCCGCGAGAGATCTCCTTTTCTTGGAGGTTACCGCGTCATCTGGGGCAAGCCTCTTAGTAGTGAATGTGTACAACGCTCCGGCTGGCTCAAAAAATGGCGGTGAGGCCGTCAGAGCCCTCCTCAATCTCACCTTTCCAGGTCATTCAAACCGAATCTTCCTCGCCGGAGACCTAAACCTCAGGCATACGCGGTGGCAGGCATCATCCCAAACTACCAGTCCCCTAGCAGAACCGTTTATTGAGTTGACGGACAGACTCAACATCACTTTAATCTATGAATCAGACATGCCAACCCACACTCGTGGTAGCGTGTTAGACCTTGCATTCGCCTCTAGTCTACTGATACTTGCGGGAGCAGAGTCTTCAATAATCCCGGAGCTAGACGTCACATCTGATCATCTCCCTATTGCGTCGTTAATCCCGTGGGACAGCCGCTTTCAGGAGCCAATATCCCGCCTCAAACTCAGCACACTTGAAAGACTTTTCCTATCTCTCCTTGAACTAGAGATAGCAAGGCTCACAGACCTTCCCGCAAATCTGCAGCCTAACTCTCTAGATCTCTTCGCTCAAAGTATCTGCACGGCCCTTCAGAACGCCTATAGAGCATCTGCACGGTGAGCTCTTGGAAAAGGGACTGGACAACCTTGGTGGAACAACGACTGCAGAAACGCTGCGCAGGCCTACCGGACAACTAGAAGAGGCTCAACTGACCAAAACGCTATCACCGCCGGGAAAAAGCTATTGCGTGCAGCTGTCCGCAGGGCAAAGCAAAAGTTTTTTCAGGACAAAATAGATCAAGCCAATACAGCAAAAGATGTGTTTGGGATGGTTAACTGGCACCGAACGGTAGGATCATTTCGTACCCCGCCTCTCAAAGATCCAACTAGCCCCGGGGTCCCACCTGCAAACACACTTCAAGAGAAGCGCGACGTCCTAGCTCGGAACCTACTGCAAAATGCCCCTGAAGTAGAAGACATTGCATTAGATGTGCCGCCAGTCGGCATTGCCAGCCTTACGCTTCTGTAACGGCTGGTAAGCCGATTGGTTCCTGTAGCGCATGTTGGCCAACATGAGCCTAGCCTGATATTGGTAGCGCACGATTGATCGACATCAATGTGTGGATATATGATGCCACTCAACAGAATATCAAGGCATCGGTATCTAGTTCGGCAGGGCAGCAGTATTGGACCATACAGCTACAACACATGTGAAGAATCCCATTGGAACCGAGAGGGAGGGACTGTGCCTCAACCACATAGACAATGTATATATAAGTATAGATAGGGACTGAAGTAGTTTTCTCTTCAGAATGATAATTTACATACTATCAACCACATAGTTGCACCAGCGCCTGTTCCTTGATCCGTGACAGCTTCCCGACCTAACGCCGGCTGAAATCAAGGACTCGGTCATCAGAGCAGGCAATGCAGCACCCGGTGAGGACGAAATTCCAACGGCAATCCTGAAGAT